GTCGCGTATCCATTCGGCGCATGCTGAAGCGGTCCTATCTCCACAGCATTGACGAAGCGGTCGAAGTCTTGGCTGAGATAGTAGAAGTCCCACATGATGATCTCTGCGTCATCGTCATGAGGCTCCGCGAGGCATTTTTTTTGTTTGGACTTGCGTTGAAGTTGAAACAGGGGAGCAACCAAAATGCTTATGCCATTGGAGGCGGCTGCTTTCTGCGCTTGCTTTTCACGATTGTATCGGCGCAGTCTGCGGTGCTAGGCATCCGTTCGTGCGATGCGCGATATCCAAATTCTCCGGAGTAGCTTGATGTAGGTGGATGATGACGGTGGCGGTGTGAAGCGATCCAAGGATGAGCGTCAGATGTCAAAATACCCAAACAGGCCCGTGCAGCTAGCGTCGAATGAAACTACTGTAGACAATTCAGCTCGAGATTCATTTGTTAAGCAAGCCTCTCCAAGGCTCACTCGCGGCGTAGGTAGCTGTCTCATTGTCCTCGCACAATGGCATTGTAACGCATAGGCTCTTTAATATACGGCATGCACACGCAAGGCACGAAATGCGGCTCGGCCACTGAGAGGAGACGAAGCTTGCTTCTTTTGATGTGTTTGACTTGTTTCAGTCATTCGCTGCAAGAGGTCGACCCTGGTACCTCGCTCTCGAAGGTGCTTTGTGTCATCTCGCGTCGTTCGAGTCTGTTCGGCTGTGTCGAAGGGATGCTATCATTCTGCAAACACAGCGCATGCCGTCTTGTACCTTCTCAACAAGCCTGAACAGATGCGTGGAGAGTACGATACCCAGATGACTCGCGCTGCGATTACTGAAAAGCCCGTATATCGAAAGTACAGGTTCGAATCTTCAATTAACACCTTTTCAGGTGCCGTCTTCTCTTTCCGCTATGTGTACTTGGCAAAGCTGTCACATGTAGTGAAACCATCGAAGAAACTGCTGTGGCCCCTCATTCAGCCTGTTGTTCTCGATCTCTGCGGCGGTGTACGGAGTACCTCCCCAGGGAGCTCGTTGTCTCATGAATAGCTCGTGACACCCATTCAGCACATAGGAAGGGCGGAAGAAGCACTGCTACTGCTGACAGTCTCCCGCTTGTATCTGGCAGCTGCATTGGCGACCTTACGCGGTATTCCGTAGATGCTCTGCCGCCCACGTCGGCGCAAAGCAGACCGAGTGGCTGATGATGGTTCGCGGTAGCCGTGCCGCGAATTCCTCCATTTCAAGTTGTGCCTTCGCCATCGTGGTCTGTCACTGAGCTACGACTCCCTGCTCGTAATGCCGTCTCTTCTCACGCGCTTCAAGCCTCCCATGACATATTGCTGCAGGTCTCTGCCTACAATTCTGAGTGTGGTTGATATGCCGTTCTCGTCGAGTCGTCGTGCAGCTCCGACTGCTTAGAGAAGCATAAGGGAGCATTGATCCTGAAACGATAGCCGATGCTGATGTCGCGGCTGCTCACGCCTCCGACGGACGTAGCAAGAACTGCAGACCCGCTCCTGATCGCTGGAATGAAATGACGAGAGCGTCACTCAGGACTGGACAAAACGACAAGAAGCGGGTCTGTCGCTGCCCCATCCGTTCAGCACCGCGCCAATTCGAGGATTGGACGGTGGATCCTATCCCGTTGGAAGGTGCTTATATAAAGCTCGGCGACGCATTATCCATTTGCTGAAATCTCTGCGCCCATGAACAATGCTCTTCAGATCACGATCAGCCGTCTCAGCTGGGACAAGGCGCTGAGTGGTCGCTTTCCAGAGCTCTTCACACGGCGCCGGGGCATTACCCTGTGGCCTTCTCTCATAGATGACGAGCGAGTGTTTGACTGTGAGAGGCCACCGGCGCCGAGTCTACACGGTACAGTGGGCGGCAAAGTGAAAGAGGCTGGATGATCCACAGTAGTTTCCAAGCTGGTCGTGTGGCGAGCTCAGGGAGACGGACCAGCGACAGGGTGCCATTTGATGATGCCGGTGCCAGTTGCTGTATCTCGTTGGGCCGTGTGCGTGCTGCTCGTGTAGAGCCTGCCTGGAGGTAGGTAACAGGTTAAACGCGAGAGCGCGCGCGAGGACGCCAGGGCAGGACAAGAGGACTGCTCGTGAGGAACGTCAGTAACACGGTACCCGGGCGCTATGCCTCTGGCCCATTCGAGTCGTGAGTTCGTGTGTCGATGCAGGCCAGCTCACTCGCTTGGAGGTCTGACGATGTGGATGAGCTGACAATCTGTCCCTCGGAGCATCTGTGCCGCAATCCAGGAATAGGTACAGCGTTCTGTCCGCCGTATAGTATTCTAGATGCTACGCGTACGGAATACGCCTGAGCGTGTCTCTGGTTATGCCTTCTGGTAGATTCAACGCTCGCATCATACCCGTCGTGCATGAACGGGTTGTAGCCCGTAAAAGGAGGCTTTCCGCATCTCATGTCTCGCATGAGCAGAGCCTGGTCCTGAAGTCCAGGCTTTGTTGCGAGGCTCGATGTATGCTGAGAGGCCGAAGTTCTTGTTGCAATAGTGGTGACTTTCGTGAATCGTGAGTTGTGCCTCGTACGGCGCATTGAGTTCGTGTCCTGGTTACCGCGATCCTCCTGTTTCTAGGCTTCTGCTTTCGCGCCTCCGCTTCGCCCGTGATGATACGGCATTGATACCCTTGAGAGGGATTCGGCTTGGTTATCTCGTGTTCTGGAGTCACGAGTGGGACTGTGGGACATGTGAACGTGAAATGACTTCCGGAGCTCGTGCGAGGTTTCTGCTAGTTGCCACTCGCCGAGGAGGCGCCTATCCTGTTGTCTCGAGTTTCTCGATCAGACCTGCAGGCTGCTGAAGGCTACAAGTGGAGTGTCGCTTGCATTGATGGACGTCGATGGATGTTCGGTTGGCTCTCGCTGGTGTGCGTGTGATCGCGTGTTGTCGAAGCTGGAGACGTAGTCAAGTGCCTGTCAATCGTGAGTGAATGCTACATTCTCTGCGTCTATCCTGCTCACCTTGACACCTTGACTGTCTGACCCATGGCAAGACGTCACTCTTGCTGCTGCATGCTTGCTTCTACATGATGTAGCGCTCGCGGTGACTGTCGGCTGGCGGCTGAAAGCTGGCCAGCTGCTGATCGACTCCTCCTGAGTGCCGCCGCCCTGTTGGAGAGAGGTGTTCACGAGGGCGAGCATGCTTCATGATGCGGTCTTCTGGTACTGCACACGCTCGTCAGGTAATTGCCCGCTTGTACGAGGGCGAAGGCGCCGTCACGCCGGTCGGCGGTCGCGAAGAGAAGGCAACGCGCTCGCTGCTTGAGCGCTCTCGGTGGAGAGTGTACGGTATTCCGTGTGAACATCTTGCCCTGTGAGCAGCTCCACGTATATCATGCTCTTTTGCGCAATTACCGTGTGCCCTCCTCCCCTCTCGCCGCGTGTGTGACGCTCGGGAGCGGCTGCTGTCCTTGAAGCTGTATTCTGATGGTGCAGATGAGGCCGTCGCGCGCAGTGAAGCCAGTGATGTCTCATACCAGCGAGAGATAGTCGAGCTGGTGACTCTGTTTGTGCTCCATGTTAGCCATGCCCGGCGTTGTGGTGATGATGGAGTCGGGTTTGGGCGTCCACCTCGGTCAACGTGGCGGCGATGGAGTCTCGTCGGTGACAATGCCATAGACCTCTCACCTTCCTCCAGGTTCGAGTCCTTGCTGTTATGGAATGCGTGCATGTGCGACATGGTGATGATGCTCGCTCCAGCGCCGGGCCATCCATTCCCGCGTTTCTGGACTGATGCAGGCTGCACCGGCTGCCATTGAAGGAGTCGAGCAGGATGGAGAGCAATGGAAACAGAGTGGGTCGAAGTGAAGCAAAAACAATGCACTTTTCGAACACACATCTGGCGTCGTGGCGGCGGTGTCGACTGAAGTTGGTATACACGCGGGCGCAAGATCACAACCCGGTTTGAAAATCTCCTACACCTCCATCGCACGGCGGTGAAAAGTCCACGCCTACGGAATGCATGATAGGATCCCCAACATGGAGAAGGGCATGAGACTGACGAGAGCTACATTGGACAAGGACACAGCGCCGCACGCTATATGAATGTCATCTGCCACCGCCAGCATGATCAAGACCGCGGTTAACACCCTCATGTCGACGCGTCGGTGGACCAACGTCCGCACTCATCACAACAAACGCCGGTGGGGCAACGGTGGGCAGCGGCAGACAGCAGGGGAACGACGTGACATCCAAACACACATACACCCAAGACGACGAGGACGAGGGATGGAAAAGAGAGAGAAGCTGAATGGCCTCCAGCACACCGCCCGAAGACAATGTGAACTGATGGCCTGCGAAGAGACAGTTAGCCACCGGGCCCTTTGATCAGGGGGGCCCGGACTCACAACCCTGACAACAAACCGACCATGTAAGATATCTCGGATGAGATTTGCGTGGGCAGTGTGGGTGCCAGCCACACCGCCCTGAAGTGCAGTTGCCAAATGCCAACTGCCAAGTGCCAACTGCCAATGATGCCAAACACCACTGCCAATTGCCAATGCCACTGCTTGCCACGTTAGGAAGAAGGGGAAGGGGGTGTACGTACAAGAGGGGTTCGACCGGGGTTACCGGCCGATAAAACATGTCACAACTAGCGCTGTTGTCGATGTCGATGTAGTTGTTGTTGTGTTGTTGTCTGGGGAGAAGAAGTTCAGGTTGAGACAGAAGACGGACGGCCTTTTTGATGTTTCGATGGGAGGGACGAGCCGCCCGAGGGCGGGCTAGTCCGTCCAGGAACATGTGACTTTCTCCGCCCGGCAGAATCTTAGTGCCAGTAGCTGCCTAGAGCTGCCTGAGGAAGCTAGGGCCCGTGCGGAACGACGGCTAGTGCCTGTTTGTAGTGAGGGACACCGCGAGGACGATGAGAGACTACTGAAGAGGAAGCAATTCGCATAAAAGAAGGCAAACTTGGCAAAGACGTTCGCCTCATTATATCAATCGAGTTCAAGAAGGTTCATTCCATCTCCGCGTGGCTCACGGGTTCAATTCGTCCATCTCTCCTTACATGCCTTCTCCGCCGTCTTCACTGCTCGCGAGACTCTAGCCTCCCGCCGCGCATTACTCGACGGAGCGGCAGCAATATGCTTCAGCACGTCCAGAAACGCCTGCTGCTCAGCGACATCACCCGTGCCCTGCGGCTGCAGCAGCGGAATCGGTGAGCTTTCCTCCTCCGACACTGGATTCGTCGTCTTCGACCACCCTTTCGAGCCGGCCGCGACCTCTTCCTCCCTCATTTCCTCGAATGTTTCCCTAAGCAGCCGACGCGTAAACAGATTCGAAAGATCTCGCCGCAGCGGATTCACCGCACCACGCTCCACGGCGTGCTCGATAGCTCTGAGCAATGCCTTTACATGGGTCCCTCTGAAGCGTCTACCCCCGGGTCGCATGAGCACCACGCCTCCACGAAGCTCCTGGCCTCTGCCGGTCACGTCATGCCGTCCAAAAGCAGAGCTGGTGGTATTCATGTCGAGAAAGAGCAGGGTCGCTCTCTTGTTGATCGGCGAGAGGGGTTTGCGACTGGCGGCAGCCGAGGCCTCCGAGGAGTCAGTGGCCTTCACGCCTTTGACGAGCAGAGGAAGCCCCATTGCGACTGAGACGGGCGACAGCTTCCAGGCGGACTCGTCCAGGTATTGCGGATCGGATCTGGCATAGAAGCACTCGACGATGCCTTCTGCCGCAAGTCTCCTGTGGAGGCGGTCGCGTGTTACATCACCCGGATGATCCGGCTCTGTGAGCAGCACGCAGGTAACGGGCTCGTCTTGGTCTTCGCCCTCGGCCTCTTTGTCGACACCGTCTTCCCCGTCGAAGTCCTTCCCATCCTTGCCATCTTGCTCTTGCTCGACCATCCCGCCGGTGACTGGGTTTGGTATCGTGACCCACTCGGAGTTGTCCTCCATCTCGCGATCCCGGAACAAGTCGAAGACCCGTGCAAACCTCGCTCCCGTGAAGTTGTCTTTGAGCGGGGAGTCTGTCGGGGAAGGAAGCTGGTCCCCGTCGGCATCCCAAAGGTACTGGTTGGCCATCACGGTCATGAACTGCTCCAGACCAAGTACATGCGCCGGCAGAAGCTCTTCCCCGTCGACTCGGGCAACCAGCACATCTCCAGTCAGAGAGCGCGCGCTGGCGCCTTGGGCAGCCTCTTGTGCAGCTGGATGCTCGAAGTCGAGGAGAATCGTGCGAGCGACTTCGTGGACTTCGGAGGACGACTCCTCGGGATCGAGGCGCGGTGCTTTTGCCAGCTTGACTGGGAATTCCATGGCGGCGGATAGCGGTGCTTCGACCCAGCGGAGGCTTTGGGCTACGGTCTCGGTGATCGAGAACTTGTGGAAGCCGTCGAGTGCTAGGGATTTGTCGAACTCGGTAGTCGCTGTGGGATCTTCTCTCCCGGTCTCAGCGGTGAGCAAGACGGTGGCAATTCTCTTGTCGGACGACATTGTGACGTTCAGATCTGCAGGCTCTCAATTTCGCGGTGTATGGGCGTCTAGCAAGGTAGGCGTGGTTTAGTCTGGGTGAGGAGAAAATGTGTGGAAGAGATTCGATATTGTTAAGAAAACGGAAAACCGGAACACAAAGAAAGGAACATCTTTATACGCGGCCATGACCAACACCGGATTCTTCACGCCCGCCAAGAAAAGCTGGTTCCGTCAGTGAATGAAAAACCCCCGCCAGGGCCGGCAGGGTATACGAATAACAAAGACGTGTATACGGACGCGAAAGGTGTACGGCCAGAGCTCTAGATGCTCCACAGCAGCGCCTTTATAGATCTTCTTTCAAGTTTGCTTGGGTTTCAGGCTGGACAAAGGATTCAGAGTACACTCGACACGCAAGCGGCAAGTTTGCTTGAGTTCGGGGAGCAAACAGTTAACGTCTTCGGTAGGGCTTTGTCTTCATTGCTCAAGGGTTTTACTTGCTGTGTGGATACGAAAATGGCATGCCAGATGGACAAGAGCGTGCATAGATAGGTTTGTTAACAGCATTTGATGGGCCGAAATCGTAGCGACTTCTGCGCCAGTTGTGTTTGTCGCAGCATGATATTGAAGTACTTCTCTGCACTGGCGGATGACCGCCTCTCGCTGCCTATCGATTGTGCTGCTCTCGCGTTGTAGCCACCGTCAGGCTGAGATAGTGCTCTCCCTAACGGCGACACATTTGGGTTGCAATGTCAAGTTCCCATGCAAGCTGAAGCCTTCACTCTTCGACTCGTTGATCGAGGACATCAGTACACGATTCGTAGCATTCCAGATGCTCAAAATCCTTGTCGAGGTAGTAAACCCACGAGGAATGGGAACGAAAGCTTGGTGGTCATTTTTGATAGCTGCGCTGGAGCGAGACTGCCCACAGGTCATGTGTGAGCAATCTAACGTCGCACCCATTGGGAATCACTCTAAGATGCTGCTGTCCTTGAAAGCCAGAGAAGTCGTAGTCCAGACAATGTGCCCTGCAATCGTGATCAAGTACACTCCGTAAGGAAAATTTAGGGTGTGGCACCTTCTGACTCTCGTGCGGTGAGTGAGTACCTAGAGAGGGATCTACACGCCGCAATGTGGAATGTTCGTGAGGCATGTCAGCAACTTCTGCTCTTCTTCGAGCGCTTTTTGAGCGACTGAAGTACCGGATATTGTTGAAAAGAAAAATCAAGGGTGCCCGATCCCGTCCGCGAGTGTGCGATGGTTTTCGTTTCTCGTTTATCCTTTCGATTCCGACAAGATAGTTTCAAGCATCCTGACGCGACTCATTCTGGTACAATGGTTTCGACATGCAGCGTTCGTGAAGCGGTGTAGTCGAGGGCGTCAGTTGTAGGTCGTCAAAGGCTCAAAGCAGGACGTACCGCGCTCGTCCGCGTGCTGAAGCTTTGCGGAAGACTTGGCACTTCACTTCCCGCGCGCGTGTACACAGTGCTGTTGGAAAATACGCGACGCCTTCGACGCGGGCAGATGTCAGCCGGCAATATCATTCCCAGGTTACAGATGCCTTCTTCCCGCCGTGCGCCGACGGTGAACCATCATCAGCCCCTTCGAATACGCAGTGTTCCAGCTCGACAACAGCCGCCCGAATATGGCAACGACTAGACACGAGCAGTGAACTGACGTGCCGAGTAGAAGAAGCAGTTCTCGGTGCCGTTGATATGATCAAACAACGTTGAACGCTGGCACGGAGCAGAGCAGAGCTGGGAAAATAAGACGAGTCACGAAATCCACGGAGAGGTGATTGGTACATGAAAGAGCAAGGAGAAAATGTACGAGGTACCGCCGTCGGCGCTGGTGACGAAGAACTCATACTCAAGACAACTCGGACATTCTGACAGGCCATCCATCCCGCCACGGTCTCACCCAAATACCGCCGTCGCTACTTCTCAGAACTGAGCGCAGCACACTTCTGCCACCGCAGCCATCACGAGCGGACGGCGTCGTATTTGGGATTTTGGATTACCACTGAAGGATACATGAAGAAGAGGAGGAGAGTGTACTTCGTTGCTTGGCTTGAGAAATGTACGGAAGAGAGAGGGTGATTTGGACACGGATGGTCATACAGCGTCTACATACAACAGCAATGCCTGTATGGTACACATCGACGAGTAGCGCCGTCAAGTGATGCGAGTTCATGGAAGAAAAGAAACGCGCTTGGTCTTCGCGCGTGATTCACTGACTGGTAATTCCACTGAAGGAAGAGTGCCAGTCCCTACGACTCGATGTAGAAGATGGAGAGGCGAAGAGGAAAAGAACCAGAGCTTCGCCGCTTATGAGTATCTCGTCACTCTCACGTCTGCACTTCTGCAGCCGTCCGCCGCAGCGCTGGCCAGGCAACGAGACGTAGAACAGATGTCACAGCGTGCCCTCCGTGTTTGGAAGACCCGCGCGTGGGTGAGGTTGCGAGCAGCCGCCTGTACGGAATGAGGCTTCACGGTAGATCAGACTTCATTTGCTTGTCATACCTATATCTCGCCTATCTCCAGGAGTCCGACGGCGGTAGCTATCTGTTCCTCCAAAGCAGAATTATCGACAACGACATCAAGAACTCGACAGCTCGAAGAAGAGCATTCGATCGTGAGAAAGACTTCAGCGATCCCCCCTCGTCACTTCTTCCGCGATACCATGCCAGGCTGCGGCCAACTACAACAGCTCCTTGCAATCCTTGGCAGACTTTTCGAGCCGATGAGGGCAGCAGAAGGCCCGGTGGAGATGGAAGGGCAGGTGACTGGTATCCCTGAGTACGTTGTCTGGGTGGATTGGGGGCTGGAGAAGACTGTGCCGGAGAAGACATGATTCTGCAGGTCAGAAGTCCTTTGAAAGGTTCAAGGCTTCGTCCGTTGTCATGGAGAGGGAAGCCCGGAAGTGTCAATTTCTTGTACTGCCTCCATCCATGGAATGGAACCATTACAGAGAGGCAGCATCTGAGGCTGTTTAGCCTGCTGCCTGTGTCTTCCCGGCGTCTCTTCAATGGTCTTCGCGCGTCCTGATCTCACGTCTGTTCGTGTTGCTTCAGAATTGATGGTGACCGAACTTGACCCTGATAAGGTTCCACTTTCAGGTTGGGCATATAGCTGTCACATTTCCCATGGGTAAAGTATCTTCCACATTCGCGTGCATGTGCTAGCCGAACAAATTTTCCCATTTCCGTCGAGCACCTTTGCGCTCTCTCAACGCCTGCTCCGCAGCATCTCATCAATCAAACCTACAGTGAGCTTGCAGACAGATATCGAAGGCCACAGGATACAAGAGCCCAGGCCAGAACAATTGACCACAATTATATAATGTTGAAGTACCTTCACTTCCACTGACGAATCCCTTGATGTGCTCTTTCGTAGCTTGGCTGAAGCAGAACCAGGGCCTTGCGTCTATGTACCTCAGATCGGGCCTTTCGACAGTCAAGCGTGGGTTCAGTCGACTGCCCGACTCACTGGAAAATACACGCCTGCAAGTCAGTCAGGGGGCGTCAAGATATGTGTTACGCAATTTCCCGGCAGGTAAGCGCTGTATATCATGTATCCAGGCGGCTCGATAATCTCTCCCCTATAGTCTCTTTTAATCCCAATGAATGCTCAGGATGGACCATTCGAATGACTATAGGCGGGCTAAGCTCAGCTAAGATATTCCGAAGCTTACCCACATTACATGACTCGCGTCCCTTTACTGTTCTTCCAGCTCAGCTTCGCTTCCTCTCTCCTCTCTTCTTCTTTCCTCATCAACGACTAGTATCGTCAGGTCTCGTCACCTACGGAACGTCTTGATTCTGGTCACAGCAAGCAGGATGAGCGCAGCCTTCGGGCACCTTCACGCACATCAGGTATTACCCGATCAGAGATCAGTCTCGACGACGGCCCCCGTGAGCATCGTGACTCTCGCCAGACTTCTCGCAAGAGAGACTTGGTTAAGAATGGAACAAGCGCGCGCATCACGTCGACTCAGCTCGATCTTGGGAGTCCGCACAAAGCTACGATATGTCAATGGATGGATGAATTGAATTCGAGAAGGTCTGAAGCCCCATCACCTCTTGCCTGACTCCTTTCTCTCAAGATTCTGATGGTGACCTGGCGTGATTGAAGCTGGAGCATAGTCTGATTGAGGTGCGGAAAGGATTATACAGTACACCTGTCGCGCGCGGAGAACGTGCCTCTGCCCGATTGCAGAAGACTACGGCTGCGGCGACAACAGGTGAAATCTCAGATAATACCTTTGGATGTCAGAGTCTCGCTGATGCAGTGGAAGCTGTTCGCGATGCTCTTGGGTCCTAACGCGCGCCTTCGCATCAAAGATCACAAGCCTACAACAACAATACTGTCCTCCACGCGCGCGGCGCGCCTTCGCAAACCCCGAGACTCCTCAACCGCAGATTGAGCGGCCGCCCCCTTTCAAGAGCACCGCAGACGAAAGACCATGTCCTAGATACCGCGATCCGTCTTCATCACCGCCAGCAGCCCACCTCGATGTCAGGCCCGGCAAGACCGCTGCGCGGACCATGTCGCCAAGTTGCCACCGAGTGCCGGAAGACGGCCTCCAAACACCTTGAGACAGAAAATTTCAAATGGGACACGAATCGAGCCCGACAATGGCTCCGAGAAGAGACGGAAGATACAAGGTGGCGAATGTCGACAAAATAAGCCAACTACAATCTACTCGAGACACAAAAAGAGGCGTCGAGAGGAGGCAACACCGGCTTGGACAACCCAGCGACGGCTCCAGAGTCCGCCATGTTGTGATCTCTGAATGGCATTCGAATCGCGATACCGGAGACCACCAGAGCTCTGGAGCCTGAACAGCTGGAAGCTGGGCTAGGCAAGCTGCTGGAGTGAGACAACGACATATCGCGCTGACCAAGAGAAGATCAGATGGCGGCTACATGTCTGCACGTCCATCAAGAAGAGCTCTAGATAACTACGACCGGAGACGATCGAAAATTGCTACAGCACGCATAGGATACTGATGCTTCCAGAAGCTCTGCTCTTCTCGGTCCCCATTTGGTGACCTCTAGCAAGCAGAAGCCGTCCAGGGGATGCGAGGCTGGGCAGAGTCTCACTCAACAGGCTAACGCTCCCTGTTCCGGAGGAGCAGCGTTCGTTCGCGGCCATCCGTACTCAGGATATTTGCGTGTCTCTCTGCAGCACGATCCTCCTCGATGGGCACAGCTTCACAAAACCTGTCACGACTCGCCAGGGAAGCGGTATATGCGTGTTCTGCAGAGTGCGAAAGGAGCCACTCTACCAGTATCATTGACGCTTACTGTAATCGCCTCAAGCCGTGAGACTGTAGCATACTTGCTAATGCACCTTCGCAGGGTCTCCAGGACATCGAAAAATTCGCGGATGCATTGGCACGCTTTCTCCACGCGCATTGCCTCGTCGCACCCGTGACAGCCTTCCACGCCGCGCCAGTCCTACTACAAGCGATGTACACCTTTGAATTTGATATAGCGATATAGCCAGCCGGAAAAGCCGCATGGAACATCTGCTTGGCAGCTTGGAAGAAGACGGAGTGAGAATACCGATCAAACTACTACTCCACTACCCATATTAGTTTCACCAGCCGAAGGTCTTTCCATCTCTCCTATTTCTGCGGGATCTGTGCAGATATGGCCATTGAGGGTATTTGGCTAGCTGGTTTGTTCCTGGGAGATAAGGTGCTGTGTCTCCAGACCGAATTCAACAACATGCACGCACCCCTCTGCCCGACATCCCGCAGGATCCATTCGCGATATCATCCGGTCGTTTTCAGCCAGCGAATTGCTCGGACAGTTTTATTGCAACAATCACTTGAGCGCTACTGCATGGAGCGGCTCGAACTTAACCTCTCTCACCATTGCTGGGTACTATTTGAATCTCTGGACGGGAAGTTGAGAGAACCAGTCATGCAAAAGGGCAAGACGACTGCAAAGCTCGGAAGAGCCGACTCCTCGGGGCCCACAGTTCATGTTTCGATATACAACTGTCAGGAGTGATGGAGATACGAGGCAATCGGTCGAGCCTTCAGGACATTGTCCAGGCTTCACGACAAGCTGATACGGGGCGCAGTGGTAATTGGCTATGACAACAGCGTTCCTGGGCGCTCTGAGATTAGTGCTGTCGTCGGCATCCATGTGGGGGAGGCTCTGTTTTTCTCGGCTCTGAAGATCCCCCCTCGCTCGATGCACACCGACCATGAGGACCGAAGCCAATGTCGATCACCGCAATGCTGTTGCGACTACTCCAGCCTGATTCAATGGACTTCTCCCGTCACTATGGGCATCGTGAGCTTGATAGCGATCGCTGGGCCGATGCGAGTTCTAGGAATTCGATCCGATGCCGCAGCGGGTTGGTCTCCTAAGGCAGCATACCACCCTCACCAGCATGGCCCTTCAGCTCTGAATCACTCACAATAGCCTAAGAGTGCCGTTGCATCTGTACAGGTGTTGGATTCGAAGATTGTCTGTGGACTTGGAGAAAAGGACGCCATCAAAGACAATGGTATTGTTCCATCCGAGGCACAAAGAATAATGGAGGCAAGTTGCAGTTGAACAAAGGCACTGGCATGCGACGCTCGCCTTTCAGCTATGCGTGGACTAGATGCTAAACTCTTGACCTCCCCGATTGGCCAATGTGATGCGAAGTATATGCTTGTAGAGCAGTCTCTGTCGACATGCAACCGCGAGCGGGTCTCAATTCAACGATTACCTGCTTGAAAGCGCTACTCAGACGCAGCGTTGTGTCTCTTTTGGGAGTAGGATGCGGTTTTTCGTGGGAGCATCGGCTGACTGAAGAGCTAATATTCTGCAGCGCAACGCGGATTCTCGGATCGCAACGATAAGAGTGTCCACGGCGTCTCTCGTCTTACTCTCGGAGCCTCTGCCTGGAACATTGGTGGCACATCCGTCGTTGCGATCGGATGTTCAAGAGTCACTTCGACTTTGACACACCGGTTGACCCAGTGGTGTAATTGGCAGGCTCTGGCAAATCAAGAAGCTGCCCAGTGACAGCGGCCACCGGGAAATGTATCTTGGAAACCGTGGGCTGGCAACTATTCGAATGAAGGGCGCGGATTTTCGGAAGCAATGAAAGGGAACACGCCCGTCACGCACGCTTTCCATCGCTTGTAACTTGTCTCATTCACCTCGCAGAGCCCGGCGAAGGGTCGGTCGTCTCTGTGCGAAACAGTAAAAAGATCAAGTCCAGCAAGCATGGTCGCGCATCACGATTCAAAGGACTCACTTCTTATCAGCTGGATGCAGCACTGCTTTTGTATTGGGCCTTGGCGCTCGATCATGTCAAATCATCTCGTCAGAACAGTGTCATTGCAGCAGGATTGATGAAGATGTGGAACAAATTGGCGAAGTACGGCGGCGCCACAACTTGAAGATGCAAAGCGTGGCAAAAGGCAAGAAAAAAACGTTGTTCCTTCTTACTGCTCGACCACCGCTGCGGCTGCTGCTCTCTGGGTACTTACATGTGACATGTGAGAATCGCATTGATCTGCGCTTTGGTTGGATAGAGTGGAGCGGGCGAGCAATTATGTGTCTTATCTGAGCCATCTTGGACTCTAACATGTGATGGAGGAAGAAGGGTGAAGCAGATGACGAAGAAGGAAGGCATAGTCTGGCTGGGGATCATTATGGTTTCCCCAAGGCTACCGCAGGAAGCGCCGGTAGTTTGAGCAGTGTTTCTTGCCCACGAGGCTACACTGATCATGCAACAGCGCCGTGGCTCAGCTCTGATTCGAAGATTTCCGTACGAATACCTTTGGTGTGATGATAGAGTGATACCCTTAGCAAGACTCAGAGCAAGACTGACTGCGCTATAGTAGCTGAATGACCTGAGTTCCTCGAAAATGCTGCGTCAATGCGTAAGATACTGCTCATTGCGCAAGTCAAAGATTGGTTCTGGAAAGATTCAGGAGCGATACGATGAGAAGGGTTGAACAATCAACGCGAGGTAATTTTGCAATTTCGGCTTCCAAAACAATGAACGATTGACTACGGCGACAATGATGCCCTTCTCTGGGAGCGTCCTTGCGACGATCCGGAAATAGTAATCCTTGCTCGACACACGGGCACATGATTTCCGACATAGTGTCCACCACACCAGCAAGGACAACAAGCTGTGGGCCGGTATGTTTTCCATCGTCGAGTTCGTCAATTTCAATTCTACGGTCGATCTGACTCAAAAGTGAAGTCGGTATCTAAGAGAAGCTTGGGTAGCTTCCACTTGCCGTCAACCTCTTTGCATGAGACACTCAAGGTCTCGACAGCGTAGGCGACGCTGTCGTTGAAGCATGTAGACATGCAAGGAACTACCACCTTCAGACGTCGAAAGAGAGCGAAGGCGGGAGGCCTGAACATACGCTGCCAGCTGCAAGGCCTCGAGGACCTCATGGCGTTGGGAGCAGACTTGAAGTGCCTCAAACTTAGACTAAGACGGCATCACATCTGAAGGCGATCGCTGTAGGGGATTCGGATTGCGTTGAACGCGGCGGGACTGAGTCGCTTGGAGACGCGCTGCGCGTAAGAGGGCGAAAAGGTCGTTGCTGTCGTCTGTTGAAAGAATCTAGCACCTCTTCGATTGCTAATGATTCGGAGACAAAGAATCGCTTGTTAAGGATGGTTTGAAATCCATCTACCTTCGTTGCTGATTGCTTTGGAATACACAAACTATGTCCGCGGCAACTAGCTATATATACGGTCTCTACAATCACCATTGGATAGATTATGCAATACAAAGTCGTCTGTCCTATCCCTTGGTATACTTTTGAACATCATCGAGCCTTTGAGCGCCGCTACGTCACAGATTGAGGCTGATGAATACTTTCGTGGGAGTGATTTCGTCGCAAATGCCGAGTTGAAGCTCTGGCGCCAGCGTCCCCCTAGAGGCCATGCCTAATTCTTGAAGCAAGCATGTCTTGAGAGAATAGACGGAGTGGTGAGATACGGCGCAGTTATGCGGATCGGCAGTGCATTTGGGAAATCTGCATGTGAATTTCCGGCTGCTCCCGCTGCAAAGTTTCACCCGCCAACAACACTGCTCACAACACTGTTTACAACACTGTCAACAACCCTGCTTCATTATCGACCGTCCACCGCGCACTCAAATACACTCACTAGTGGATGACACCCGCTTTCAAAGTTGCTAGGAGAGCTTAGCAATCGAGTCCCATCGCCACGTCTCCCGGATCCCCAGATCTGTACAAGTACTTGCTCCGTATACAGCAATCATGACTACGAGCAACAAGACCGATAATGGTGCGCCCTCTTTTCTCGATCTACCGCGCGATCTTCGCGATGAAGTCTACGCTATGCTATACCCAAAGCGCATGGTGGTCTCTGTCGGCGGATACTACGAGACAATGAAGCCGTCAGATCACGGACACTTCACCATCGACCTCCGATTTCCAGAAGACTTCCGTGGCCGTTGTATGCTTCGGGTCGCAAAGCACGTCCGCGTCGAGGTGAGAAAAGATCTTTGAAGTGAGATGGCAAGATTGGATGTTGACAAGCAACAGGCACTCGAATACGTCCACAAGCGCTGCGTGCTCGTCGTCGATTGCTTCAGCAACCCCTACGCCAATCAACCCCTGGTCAGAGAGTATTCCACCGGCCGTTTCACAGCCAACAACCCTCTTCCCCTCTGTGTCTACCAGGGAATGACCCGCTTCGAGATCGCAAGCTGCCACGGCTTCCAATGGGCGTCGGAGACGAGAGAATTCGAGGTTGAGCATCATCTCATGACTTTGCGTCTCCGTTTTGAAATGCGTCGTACCTCACCGTCCTCGCAGATCTGCGTTCAGACGACGCACTCGTGGGAAGATCTCCCGCACCTGCGTCCAGAGGACACCCCTTCCAACCAAATAGTGCAGAGATCCCGGAGGCTGATTGAGGCCTTCGTCGGCGCCCGTGTAAGCTACATCGTCCCGACGTCCGCCGAGATCTCCAATACCCGGACTCCACGTGGTGCTATGATCAACTCGAGGCTAGCAGTCTCATCGACATACCCAAATGCACAGCTTTTTTGGCTCTTGCAGCAAGCGTGTATCTTCAAGATCGGAAGCAAGACTGGTGCAGCGCCGAATGGCCTCTCGCATTTGTTCATAACAGCCTCCCGTGCTAGGAGCAACTACCTCAGTAATCCAAACTACGGTCTCTACGATATGAGAAATGACGGCGGCCAGCAGCTCGAGCCGCTCCACGACTGGGACGCCGTGGTGGACTTCAAGGAGGTTTCGCAGATCCCGAGCGCGGGCCACGACACAGTCCGTTTCTACGAGGACTTAGTTCTTGGCCGAGTCGTTGCCCCAGATAGGGATCGATGGATTGGCTCTGGTGAGACCATCAACTCTGGACTCGTCCTTGGCGAGCATGTATTGCGGGCTTGCGGAACGCAGAAGCGTGCTCCAACGCTTGCTCAAGCCAACGCACCCAGCTACCCTATGACTGCACCAAATACGGCCGCTCTGCCGTCCGTATAATCCACACAGCTTGACCCGATGCAAATCGCTGGCCTCCGTTACCATCGACATACTAGTCATCTAGAGGGTCCGGCTGGCATAGCGGAGATACTAGATACTCATTCAAATTGCCGTTGCGAACTTGAAATTTCGCTTCAGCTCATTCGCAAGCGAGGCTATGCTACCAGCGCTACTTTATAGACAGTCTTGGCCTAAAAGTACAAGGCGTGAGAGTTTCAACTGCATTCGTCCTTATGTCGCGAGAACAGCTATCTAGGCAATTATCACTTCGCGAGTTACTATTCTTGAGACTCCGGACGCTGTGTTTTCCTAATAGGGACGCATGGTGGACTTTGGTCAAAGTGTATACCTCAGCAACATTCATTTACTTCGCGAGAGCGCTAGCGTGCCAAGCATGGTCCGAACCCGAAGTCTTGCCGGTAGCACTGCCTCTTCGCGAATTTTGCCGCTCTTTATGCTGGTAAACGCACTCAACACAAATCTTGCATCTACACACGCGCGCGCGCTCTCTCTCTCTTTGACAGGATGTCCGCCTACCCCTTCCTCCCCATCACAATCTCCGAACATACCGCCGCGGACGGAACTCGATTCTACATCATCAACAGCAAAGACGAAGCCCGAGAGAGAGAGAGAGACGAATACCAGAACCATTTCCCTGGCATCTTCCACCGCGTGAGCCCTACTCCCTCCTACTCAATCATCCAACACTAACGAATCGCGCGCTTCAGATCCCAGACCCAGCGCCCTCGAAAACAAACCTCTGGATCGATCTCTCCCGCGACTACTCCCTCTGCTACGCCCCCGGAAAGCGCACATAACCCCCTCCCCAACCGAAATTTCCGAGAAAGCCCTGCAAAAAGTATCGGACTTCACCGTCGTGGAACCGTATCTGCATTTCTACGGCCCCGTGGGGGCGCTCGAATACCCCTTTTCTATCCTCCGACGTATGGCCGTGCGCTTCGCTAGAAAACCAGGAGGGGATATGGGGGACGTTGACGAGTCCGAGTGGGTGACGTCCGGCTACACCAAGACGACCACCCCAATCCTCCCCGGAGCACTAGAACTCGGGACGCGCAATGAGATCGAAAGGGCCGTGTTTGATAAATTACAGGAAATTCTAGGGACATGGATGGAGACTCCAGTGACGGCGGAGAAACTCCACGAATGCCAGAGGTGTTTTGTTTTTGACGAGAAGACGCGGGATCGGATGGATGTTTCGACGGCGGGGTTCAAGGTTACGATGATGGGGAGGGAGGTTGCTGCGAGGAAGTATCGGAGTGGGACTTGAAGGGGAAGGGAGAGGGATTGCATTGGTATGGGGGAGGCTGAGAGGATGCTGCAGGAGAGGGATGAGGAAAGAGAAGGAGCGGGAGGATGATGGCGGGGAGGATTGTGGTGTATCTCTTAGAGAGAGCAGGGGAGAGGACAGCGCGGAGCACAAGAGGCTGAGGCGGTTGGAGAGGCTGGAGAAGTTGGAGAAGCTGCGGAAGAAATACTTGGGTCGGAAGCCGGTGGAATGGCGGTAGAGATTTCGAATGAGGTGCTACTCAATGCGAGGGTACCGAGAAAGGCTCTATTAGACGTCGGCGAAGACGACGAATGTAGAATGGCTCGAACTCAAGGCACTGACGATCCTCCCTGTGCCAAAGTACCTACGTGACGAATTCCAGACAGCCAAACTCCATGTCCGTCTCCTGTCGGTCCTGCTCAGGTCCACTAAGGGCGCTTGAAGCTCTGTCACTTCACTCTTGGCTCAACTGATATATCTCTCCCCTGACAGCAGGCGTCCTATCCAGAAGCGGCACCTTATAAACCTCCCACAGTTCCAAATACACCAGCAACACAGACTCTCTCATGCCGAATACTTGAGAAATACCCACAGTGAGGATCATATCTCGCCCGATCATACACAATACCATGCTTCTCTGATGGAATTGTTGCTTCTGCTACAACCCCCTCCAACTCTGTCACCGCACAAGCCATAGCTTCTCGCACAACAGGTATCTCGCACAGGCTTCTTCCACTGAGGAGTTTCTTACTTGTAGCGGCAGAGCTGGCACTGAAGAGCGGGAAACGGTCTATAGCGGTTGCGATCTTGCAGACTGCAAGGGCGGAAGATTCAGAGTCATTGTGGGTATCGAGAAAGTCTCCGAATAAGCGGCGAACAGCGAGGTTGCGCTTGGCGACTTCGTCGATCTTGGAGAGCTGGAAGATCCGGGTCCTCGCTCTTTTTCAAGAGATGATGGCTACCTCGACGAGATCATTGACAGAAGGTCAGAGTGCGAGTCCTTCCAATTCCTCTCCAAATTTCCGTGCCCAAACGCCCTCCGGCTCCGTCTCTTCTGGAACCCCAAGTACACTCCTTTTCATCAAAGCCCAGCGCCCGACCGTCGGTCCCGATTCTGAGACCCTCGAACATACCTCAACGAACGAGGTACCGGAGAGCGTCTTGCCACATCGACTGACGCGGGAACATATCCGCAAGCCAGAAGTACAGCCCAGGATCCCCAGGGATACCCTCTCAGATCAGGTGATGTCTCCGTATCGCTTCATCAAGGCAGGAGCCACGGGACCCATGTGGCCATAGTATTCCGCGTACATGCCGATCGTGGGCAGGGGGTGTGAGTTTCTTCAGCGGAAAGCGCTATCGAGGTCTCAAGAAAGAGGACAGAAAATGTCGATTATCTTTTCGACGGAGACTCCGTAGCTGTAGATGATGTAGGAGATGAAGCCGTGTGCAGCGGAAGCAAGACCCAGTGGTGGCGGCTGTCTTGACCACGAGGGCCTTGTTCCCAGCGGGCGGAGGAATGGTAGCTGCAGTCAAATGAGAAGGGAAAGATTGCGCCGGGCTCGGAGGGCTGGAATGGCTAGTTGCTGTCAGTTCAACGTGTTGACTCGGTGGGTGACAAGGTATACTGACCAACCTGCCTAGCTGGAAGCGCGCCCCTCCGCTCGAAGAGAGAAGTCCATCAGATTGGGGGGGAACCCGTCTTGGGGCGGTTTTCACGGCTTGCATAGTGTCTGGATGGTCCGACGGGTCAGCGAGGCGGCGACATTGTACTCGAAACAATCTCTGCGTGGAGGAGGAGTTTGGTGCCTTCCGCAAAGTCGACGGGCAGATCGCCAGAGTGGAAAGCGGGAAGGAGAGGTGGCGCCATATTCGCGAAAGTATCTTTCTTGAAGGACCCCCATAGCAGAAGGTGGTGAATCGCTGTAGAATTTCTCGAGTGGCTGCGACAGACGAGCAGACACACTGGTCTTGGCGTTCGAAATCGGGACAAGTTCGGCTCTATCATGTGCCAAAAGCCAGCTGGCCGAATCATGGAGTCCCCACTGCACTCGCATAGAACCGATCAAAACGTTATACATACTCATGCACTGGGACGGAATCACAATTCGAATTGCTCGTGCGACTCATCAACACCAACGTCCTACAACAAATCAAGCAAGAATCCTGCAGCGGACTCATCAAAGCGGCCTCAACTCACTATAGCTCTGGATAGTCCGTCGTGGGGTACTTGCCAAAGTCGAACGGATAGGGCGTGGAGCTGAGAGGATACACGTCGTCTTCCTCCTGACATGCATATGATACCCACATAACGAATGACTGACCGGGGGCAGCGCGTGTTATAGCATGATTTGTACCGCTGTCGGAGGCTTTACGGTGATCTGCTGAGAACTGCTGCTGAGAAGATTGAATAGTCCATCTGCAGACATCGTCGGCAGATGCATCCGGGTTGGCTGATGTGCGAAGTCTGTGGGGGCCGCAATGAAGGCACGATTCCTGTCACAGCACTACAGGAGCTTCTTGGAGTCTTTGTGTGTGATATGTACTCGCTTCTCCTTGACAAAGCTTTGGAGGGGATGGTAATGAAGGTCCGCGTGAATGTCTCTATGGCGAAGGGTATATCGGTCGTGCTCGACGGAAAGCAGCGGGCAGTGTTCGACGGCCGCGCAAGAGGGCTTCAATTGTCCCGATTCTTGCTGCCGGACGACCCAGCGGGTGCGAGTGGCTAGGTAAGAGATGAGCAAATGAAGCAGGTGTCATGCTACGGAAGGCAACATCTTCTTCACAATAAGGCGCCATTTGAAAGTTATACTTCGTCCATCATCCACAGTCCGACAAAAGATCGAGATCGGGAACACCAGAGGGCAACTGGCCTGCCTGGCCTTGCGGCACCCTGGACGTTATTGCCAGGGCTAGAAAGAGTGAAACTTCTGACCGGTCGCCGCTATTGCTACAGCAGTCCACATGAAAGTATCGGCACATGTTGAAGAGTAGTCGGGCTCCAGGAGTCCTCTGTCGTGGTCATGGCATGAGCATCGCAAAGCGAAGAGACCGTCGAGAGGATCCGAGCGGTGCCGTTGTCGAGGCACGGGTGGTAATGCTACGAACCAGTAATGTTACTCGATCGCAGTCATGAGATTCATAGCAGAGTTCCGCCTCGGATGTGAGGGCCTTGTCGGGCAGTCCGGAGTCTTTCAAACCAGGGCTGCATCGTCAGACAGCAAATGGCGTCCAAGGCGCCGTTGCACTACTATTCTGAGGAATCTATGCGATTCGCCATTACAAGAATTTCAGCTCAACATTGACAGCGCAGCTGAGAAGATGCAGTGAGCTTGGGTAAGGTAGTTGGAGGAAACCGCCATATGCTCTCCGCAGCATGTGAGAGCGGCAAACGCAGGAGTGGTGCAAGACGGCCGTCCAGATTTGGGTATCAATCGTGGTCACGCCCACAGGAGCGCCCTCCACTGTCGGCCTTGCTAGAGATATAGGCCATGAGAGCGACTTGCTCCTCACGCTCCATCGTGTCCTCAAGATGACTGCCAATGCGCCCACCTTATTACCTTCGGGAGGCGTGGGAGAAAAGCAAACAGCGGAAAGCGGACAGCATCGGTGCCGGATCACGCCGGCTTTCGCATCAGCAATACGATACCACGTTGCAAGCTGCGGGTGTTTCTGCTGCTTCGTCGTCAGTTATCAAGCCGTGCTAGCGCTGCCGACGGATCAGGAGAGCAGGAAGACGGTCATCTTTCGAAGCAGATTGCGCCCGGGAGGCTCGAACAGCCCGTGAGAGTCCGCCTGCGTATACTCGAATGGTTATGACCTAGGAGCGTACTTTTGAGGCTGTGCTTGCAGGCGACGATGATGTTGGCGACGATGATGTTGGCGACGATGATGTTGGCGACGATGATGTTACGACGATGATGATGTTGAAGACGAGGTCGAGATGAGATGAAATGGGAGAGTTCCGGCATCCTCCGACGTCGCGGGCGCATCTTGGCAGCACCGATTGCGCCGACATCTTCCGACTCAACATCCCCCCCAACAATATCACATCCCGACATCTTCCACGCCCATCAACGCCAATTTACTCCACCACATCATCGGAACCATCTCATCGCAACCATAATTCATCATCATCATCATCATCATCATCATCATCATCATCGTCACCATCCAAAGCGAGGCCGATGGCAGCGAACTCGGCGGGAGTCGTCCGCGAGGCCGCGGTACCTTAACACCCTTCACCATGCAACAATCTCCAACCCCGCGCGGCCCCTCATCGTCGTCACACGTGAGAGCGTGAGCGTGAGCGTGAGCGTGAGCGTGAGCCTGGGCATGAGGTGAGGTCAGGTCAGGTCAGGTAGGAGGATACTACTGTCATCGTTCTCTTAGCCTTCTCTCTGCCATCAAGGTGCCGTCCACAGCATATCACCATGTCGTCGACCTTCAAGCCGCCGGAGAAGATGCGAGCCGTCGTGCTCAAGGGCGACTACCACGTACGTACCCATCCCCCTCTACCACTCCTCCCAACACCCATACTGATCCGGATCCGGACGAGTAGGTGGAAGTCGAAGATCGCCCGTACCCGAAGCTCCAGAAAGACACCGACGCCGTCCTCAAAGTCTCCTCCACCGCCCTCTGCGGCTCCGACCTGCACTTCTACCGAGGCCACCTGAAATGCCCACCCAACTTCATCTGCGGGCACGAGTTTGTGGGCGAGATTGTGGAAAAGGGCAGTGCGGTGAAGAAGTTCCACCTCGGCGACAAGGTACACACCCCCAAGAGCAAGTCACCACATACCAATCAGGCCTGACACGACATCCAGGTCGTCGTCCCCTTCTACACCGCCTGCGGAGAATGCTACTACTGCGTCCGCGGCCAGGCCTCGCGCTGCGCCAAAGGCGAACTCTTCGGCAACTCCGCCCCAGCCAACACCATCGACGGCGGCCAGGCGGAATACGTCCGCTGCCCGCTCGCCGACTCCACCTTCGTCCACACCCCCAACGGCATCCCCGAGGAGATGCTCGTCCTCATGGCCGACATCTTCCCCACCGGCTACTTCGCCGCCGCACGCTTCCTCAAAGACTTGCCCGCGCGAGATCGCAAAGAATATACCGTAGTCTGTGTCGGATGTGGACCGGTGGGCATATGTGCCATTACGTGTGCGCTGACCATGGTGGATACCGTGTATGCGATTGATTCGGTGCCGGAGAGGTTGGAGCAAGCCAAGGCCCTGGGTGCTATCCCAATACATCTCAACGATGATCCTGTGGCCAAGATCAAACAGGCGACAGACGGTCGTGGCGCCGACGTCGTCATTGAGGGCGTAGGCCACGCAGACGCATGGAATATGGCCTTTGACATGATTCGTCCCTGGGGAGCAATCTCCTCCATTGGCGTGCAGTACGTCTCCTCCCTTCACCTTCTCCCGCACAGTCACACCTTCTCCCTCACAGCCACTGCCCTCCACCCTCTCCCTCACAATCACTGCCCCCACCTCCTCCCTCACAATCACTGATCCGCTGCTTCCAGCACCGAAAAGTGGGAAGTCAACGGCCTCCTCCTATACGGCAAAAACGTCACCATGTCCTTCGGTCGCTGTCCCGTACGTTCCATCTTCGAGCCCGCCCTGGCTCTGCTCGTGCAAGAGCAGAAGAAAGTCGCCTTTCTGTGCGGCAAGACCATGCCGCTGGAGGAAGCGCCGCAGGCCTACAGGGATTTCGAACAGCGCAAGGCGCATAAGATTGTTTTTAAAATGGGCGATCGCGGGAGTGTGGAGGAGAAGGAGATTCAGGCTGCGGCTTGATGGGGAGGTGGGTGTGGGGATGGGGGGATTGGATGTTGGGATATCTATTGATAAGATTTCTTCTTCAATTTATTCTCCATCGCATTTTCTTCTTCTTCTTCGAGAATCTCACCTCACGGTCGACAAACCCAGCACACCCCTTTTTCTCGCCCTTTTTCCCTTTCCCCCACCCCTTCTTCCCCCTTCGAAAGGGGAAAAAAAAACGATGTTCTACTTCAATAGTCTCTTCTCAAACCCGCTGGACTCCTCCCTTCTATTTCTCGATTGGAAAAAATTTCACTAATAACCTCGTCAATCCATTCTCCATTCTCCGTATCCGTCTTCCGTCTTCCTTTTTGATGGTAATGGTACTATGAATGCCAAGTCTCCACGACACGGTACGGGGTGTGAGATTTTCACGTCTACGCATTCTCGTTATTGTCGGCGCGGGTTTGGGATGGAATTATTGGGATTCGTAGACGGTGGACGGTTGGGGTTCGTTCGTTTGTATGTATACTAAGAAAGAGAGAGGTACTGGAATTCGCTCTCGGAAGGAAGAAAAAAAGCGTGCGTACGTACGTATATTCAGTCTGTTATGTGTTGTAGGTTTCGCGACGGCGGAATGTAGGAGCTGCGTGGTGAGAGATACTCGTCCGTTCGCTCTTTCTTTGGTTTTTTTTTTTTTTTTTTTTTTTTTTGGAAGAGATGGATAGATGGATGGTAGAAGGATGGAAGGAGGGATTTTCTACTTCGTTTTTGGGATCGTACTTTTTGGATCTTTTTGGATCGTACTTTTTGGATCGTACGTTTTGGGATCGTACTTTTTGGATCGTACGTTTTGGGTCGCTTGAGAAGGAGGAGGACTCTTGATGTATGAAATATGACTCTGGGGGTGGGGGGTGGTGTTGATCTGCGGGAGTCTTAAGCAGGATATGTTGAACTCGTAGATTCTTTGTCATGGATTGAAGTGGAGGAGGAGGAGGAGGAGGAGGAGGAGGAGGAGGAGGAGGAGCTCTTCTGGGATGCATCTGAGGATATGAGGATATGAGGATATAAGGCTGCGATGTGGATCTATCCGTAGCCGAACAATATCGCTCGCCATACCCGCGAAGGAATCACGAATTGGGAAAATCGTAGTATTAGATCTCAGAGTCGAATTCTCCGCCTTTGCAAAGAATTTTTGTAAGAGTGTAAGAGGGAAAGCAGTTGTTCTGATGAAACTTTCTGGGGGTGTGTGTGTGGTCTGTCGCTCTTCGTGTTTGGTGGCTGTCTCGCTGCTTTGCGTCTTCTAGGACGTCGGTGGTTCTTCGGACAGATTTTGGGGAAGGATCGCTCCAATCGCGGTATCAGTCCTTTGGGTCTTTCTTATGCTCTCGAAGCAGGCTCGCTGGGCCCAGTCGAGTTGCAGATGGGAGCGTGCCAGCTCAATCGAATTCTCTTCTTCTCGTATGAAGTCCATGCTAGACGAACGCCACCCTCCCAAAAAAGGGCGTCATGTGAAAATTCGCCTCATCGGTCGGCGACCAGGCCCCGAGAGTCTGATTCGGGAACTGGCTCGGAGCGACCTGTGCGATGGATCAGTATTAAATCCAAGAACGGTCTGAGGATGATATGAAGCGGCATACCACCGTGCGGAAGAAATTCATGCGCCACTTGGTGCCCTTGCCGCGGCCGTCGTCGACGTTGAAGAAGCCCAGCGGGACTTTGACGGCCGAGACCCACGTGCGGGCTTCCTTGTCGAGGGTCGTCCTTGCGGTGAGGCCGTCTTCGACCGGCGTCTGGATGTAGAAGGTGTCGAAGGGCGCACCGCTCGCGCGGACTTTGGAGGGGTTGTAGATGAAGGCGTTGAAGGTCTGCGCACATCCATTTCAGTCAGTCGGTCGTGATGCGGGCTAGAAGGATTTGCGGAGCCGGCTGCGCACTCACCACGTTGTTGGGCGCGATTTCGAATTCCATGTACGTCTTCGGGTCATTCTCGCCGCGGTAGATGAACGCTTCCATGACTTCCCACTTGTAGATCGGGTCGTTGGTGACGGCGGACTTGTTGTAGAAGTAGTTCGTCTCGTTGTGGGCGGTGAATTTGAGATGGATGGAAGTGTCGTCGTAGCAGAGAGCCACTTGCGTAGATGGGAAGCCATCGCCGAGGGTGTATGGGACGTAGTGGTTGTAGTGGATCGTCTCAACGGATGGGCATGCTGGGACTCGAATGGAAGGGACGTCGGCGAGTGCGAACGTGGCGCAGGAGATGAGGGCGCAGACCGCTGCGAGGCGGCGTGAGGTCGCCATTCTGTTTCTGTCTGCGTTGATGCTGTGTCGAAAGTGGTTTGTCGTCGGATGAAGTGAGGTGGTCGAATTCGAGAGCTGACGTCTTGCGTAGGTATGCATGGAAACCTCGTCTGTGCCGGCCTTCCCCCGATCGAGCGTGGCGCGAGTCACATGCATGACGGCGGCAAATCACATGCTGCGGCTGCAGCGCTCCGCTGCGGCTGAAGCGTCTCCCTCCTTGTTTGGCAGGGACCGGCGTGCCATATCAGGAAATTTCCGGGATCGATTCCTCTAGGATCCGCCTCCCTCAGAGCTATTTATATATCGAGCTTCGGCTAGAGAAGAGTTAACATATCATCGATGATAAGACGTCCTATATGACCGCCTTCGAGGCGAATTCTTCCTGTCGACAATGTGTGGTTCGACCAACACCCGAGCAGTGAGGAGGAGTGCTGTGGTCCCCAGATGTTGGAAGCAATGCGTTCACAAATCCGCGTTTCAATCGACACTTTGCGAGCTGCGCCTTGGTACATTCAGTAAATGTAAAAGTTCTTCCCACTTCGGACTGATACATTCCAGCGCCTCAGACAATGCAATTGTTCTCGGCGGCGGGAGGTGGTTGCTTTTGCGATGGCAACACAAGCATTTACTACTTGTAGAATGCGGGTTTCGATAGGTGTTACGCAAAATACTTCTTGCGATTCAATGCTTCAGCGTTTGCTAAACCGCCGGCAAACCTCTAGATCCGCGCTAGATTGTCCTCGTACTTGCTTATCTCAACGACGCTTTCGCCTCCTGGACGGCGTCACCTCCATGCCAGATTCAGAGAAAGAGCGCTCTGATTTGCGTTGGACGACAGACGTTGATACACGCTCCATTGCTGGATTGAGGAGGAGCATCTTCCCCCAGAGCGAGGGATGTTCCGCCACTGTAGTCTTCCGAGGACGAGAAGGTAAGGCGAATGTCTGATGCTTGTTTCGCGCTCGCGACGGAAGAGAAGAAATTGATAATCTGTATGCAGTGTGTGGAGATATGGCATTGTGCGTAGTACTGTCAAGGGGTTGAGTGGCGAGTGTGCGCACGCGGGTATGTATGAGGACGTGGAGAAGAGAAGGAATTGACGATTTGTGCGCAGTGTGTGGAGGTTTTGCTGTGGTGAGTATGGTCAGATGGTCGGGTAGCGAGCGGGACGCACGTGGGTATGTATGAAGACGTGGAGTAATGAGGTCATTGATCTGTGATGCAGGCGTAAAGAGAATGATGTATGTGTGTAGCATGCGATCGCATTCGGGAAGGAGGAAGAAGATTGCAAGCAAGCAAAGACAGGACAATCTCCCGATCTTGAATTTGAACAAGATCGCAGGACGTCATTGCGGCGACAAAACGAGAGGAGTCGTTGCTGGATCAACAACCGGACATATTACTTGCAATGGCTCATGGAATGGAAGAGGAGAATATCGCAGCTGTACACGTGTCGTGAGCCAGAGGGAGATCAGCGCCGTTCAATTGGGCCTGCGCCCGATCATGAGCGCCGATGACTAGAAATCAGAGCAACATAAGAGATGTTACCTCGTGGTACCACTGTTCTCCCAAGTCGGTACTGATCATACAGATCTTCGGTTCGAGCGACTTTTCGTCCTTCTTCAATCGCCAATCTTCGATGCTCGAGCAAGAGTCTGCTTGTCGCGATGGAGGCCCCTCTCTATTGTTCACCGTGAAGTTCCACATACAATGATTTCAAATCATCTAGGTCGATGTTGTCTCATGTGTCTTGCGCCGGCTGGCTGCGTCCGTCCCATTCATGTTCCGGAACAAAGGACGTCATGACGAATGCGGTGTCGGCGGTTCCGCACGGCGGGCTTCTGGGCGTAGAAGGGTTCAATCTCGAATCTGCCTGTTTCGCGTCATCTCTCAGCTTGGTATGAGAGCCGTGGACGGGTAAAGTCTGGAGCCAATATTGCTTCGGGTTGATTGGAGCTGGAGGCGGGATGCCTGATTTGCGGCGCACGTCGGCGCATTCGAAGTGATCGATTATTCTTTCCCTGTTGCTTCGGAAGACTCGCAAGTGGTGGGAAGTGGCAACTTTACTTTTTTACATTGCTCAAGGCAAGTCATCTCAAGGGTCCATAGACTGTGACAATGTATGTGGTAGCGGCATGTGCGAGTAGCCCGGATCGACAATGCGTCATGTCCGGCAATGAGGAGCAGGAGGACCACTTCCATGCGTCTTTCCTTTGTGCTAGAGGCAAGCTGCATTGTTGTTGATGACCTCTCGGCCACAGTCTCGTTCTCCTACGCCGGATCTTGTGGTGATGATAGCCAGGTTCGATTCCCATAGCTAGCTCTAGCCTCTGTGAGCTGCCGCGCCTCTGTAGCTCATCGTGGGCTGATTCCTGCCAGAGCAATCGAATCCGTCTCCAGTAAAGACATGGTGGTTGTTGTATGACGCAGCACGGCGGGTGATACGTGAAGTGCGAGCGCTCGCGGGCGTGTGTCAGCCTGATACGGTCAGGGCGTTGGCAGTCTGTTCGGCGCCGAATGCTTATGACGCACGAGCCCCCGAGATGGCAGAGGAAGTGCGTATAGGAATAGCATGTCGACGATGATGTCGTATCAGAGGGAGAAACATTCCATACCACTGCAGACGGATGTGGTCGCGATGTACCGCTGTCACGGCAACGTTATCCGGGGTGACGACGCCGATCAGAGTGGCTGGCGGGGCTCTTGACGAGTGGGGCTTGACGTATGTCGGGCCTATTCGGGTTCGGCCGCTTGACAGATTTCCTATCTGAGCAAACGCGATCCAGATGTAGATGCATGGAATCAATATTGGGCCAAGACATGCATGCATGCACGCGACATCGACCCCTACGCTCCTCCACCTGCACTTCTCCCATTGCTTTTCCGTCAATCTTTTCCATCCCCTCTCGTGCTCCGACGCCTCCATTACCCCCCCCCCCCCCCATCTGCCTTCCCGGTGGTGAAGGCCATTGTGGCGTCGACATCCGCATACCAACGTCACGGAGCCACCGTCTGTGGCCACGTCAACATGCAGCTGCATTGCAGCATCCGAGATCTGGTAGCGGACATCACGAACCCACATGTCCCAAACCTGTCTTCACATCTTCAACCTCACTTCAGCAACAACACGCAAGAGGCCCACAACCGCACAGATCAGCAGTTCGTAAAGGCCGCGAACGTGTCGTCCAGACTTCTGGGTCTGCGGCGGAAGGAACCGATAGCCTGGAGTAGCCCTCGCTCCCTACGCCCTTTGTTCTGAAGTTTCAGATCGCTTCTCCCAACAATGACCCGCGCGCCAAGATCGCAGGATACCACCTACGATAGAGTTCACAAAGGAAAGACAGTTGATCCATGATCGCGGCTCTGCATACATGAGAAAGATGAATAGAAAAGGAGCCTCGTCGCTCACAATGCCAGACATCTTCCATTCCATCGGGACACAGCACTTGCGACTTCAGCTACGATGTTTCGGTACCTTGCCTTGGCAGCTCTATCCGTGCAGGGAGCTTTTGCGCTCTCATCCGCACAATGGCGACAACAGTCAATTTACGAGCTCATCACGGATAGGTTCGCCTTGACCAATGGATCAACGACACAGCCGTGCGACTGGGGAAACTACTGCGGTGGTACCTTCCAGGGTATCATCAACCACTTGGACTACATCCAGAACATGGGGTTTACAGCTGTGAGTCAGACCAACGGAATGCTCCAGCGAAAAATGTCGCACTGATAAATTGCAGATCTGGATTTCTCCTGTCATTGCCAATATTGATACCAACACCCCCTACGGGAGGCCATACCACGGTTACTGGCCAATGGACAGCTACTCCATCAACCCGCACTTTGGCACCGCCGCGGACCTCAAATCGCTCTCTTCTGCTCTGCATCAGCGTGGCATGTACCTGATGATAGATGTCGTGCCAAACCACAGCGCATGGAATGGTTCACCAACGTCCATCAACTTTACTCAGCTCAATCCATTCAATCAGGCGTCCTACTACCATATGCCATACTGCCCAATCGACTACAACAACGCAACGAGTCTCGTTGATTGCTGGATTGGAGACACCACCGTGTCACTTCCTGACCTCAAGACCGAAGACCCAACTGTGCAGTCGATGTGGAACAGCTGGGTCAGCAACTTTGTCGCCAACTACTCCGTCGATGGTCTCCGCATTGATAGCGCCATGGAGATGAACAAGGGATTCTTTCCAAGCTTCGTCAGTTCTTCTGGCGTCTATGCTGTGGGAGAGGTTGTCAACGGAGATCCAGCTGCCCTGTGCGATTACCAGAACTACATGCCTGGAATGACCAACTACGCCCTCTACTACTGGCTGCAGCGTGCATTTGGGTCGTCAAGTGCGACGATGTCAGAAATCACCAACAACATTGCCTGGCTGAACTCGACCTGCCAGGACACGACTCTGCTGGGCAATTTCATTGAGAACCACGATAACGCTCGCTTTACCCAGACCACCAACGACTCCAGCCTGATCCAAAATGCCATCGCCTTCACGATCCTGGGTGATGGTATCCCAATCATTTACTACGGACAAGAGCAGGGCTTTACCGGATGGGGAGATCCATACAACCGCGAGCCACTGTGGCCGTCTGGATACAACACCGGCACAACGCTGTACAAGTTCATCGGCAAGATCAACGCCCTGAGAAATCGGGCCATCTCGCAAGACTCCGGCTATTCGTCGACAAAGGCCAACATCATCTACTCCGACTCCAAGACGCTCGTGACAAGCAAATTCGGAGTTGGAGCGCCCGTCATATCCGTCTTCAACGATGATGGGGCTGGCGCTCCGTCGCGATCCGTGACCTTCGCGAATAGCAAGTCCAGCTTTGGCGCAGGCACTGCATTTGTCGATATCGTCAGTTGCACTCAGTACACTACGGATGTGAACGGAAATCTCAAGATCACCATCTCCAACGGAGCTCCGATGGTGCTGTTCCACACGGGCGGTCTGACCGGCTCAGGGCTGTGCAGCTCCGTCACCACCGTTGCGCCGCCGACGGCAACGCCAACATCCACCGCTGCCAGAATCACCTCCCCTTCCACGACGTTCGCCACTTCCACGACCAGCTCCTGCACGGCCTCGGCCACGGTCGTCTTCAGCGTGAACGCCACCACCTCCTGGGGCCAGGGCGTCTACCTGACCGGTTCCGGTCCCGAGCTGAACTACTGGAATACTTCCTACGCACTTACCTTGTCCGGCAACAGCTACCCGATCTGGACCGTCAGTGTCCCCTTTCTGCCCGGGAGATCCGTTCAGTACAAGTACATCAAAGCCGCCAACGGTGCCATTACCTGGGAAAATGGCGCCAATCGCAATTTGCAGGTTCCGACGTTGACCGGCTGTCAGCCTGCGACTGTGTCGCAGAGCGATATTTGGCAGAACTAAGAGGTGTTGGGCTGTGATGTACGATATTGACGATGAGATGAGGGGCATGGCCGCATGGGTTTTGTACATTGTGCATGTGTTTTGGATGATGGGATGGTTTTTGTATATTGTGCATATGTTTTTTGATGAAGGGACGGTCTGTGTATAGTATGTATATGTTCTTGTATCTTGCATATGATCGATATCTCAAAGGGGGTTTGCTTCTGCTTGGGTCTTTTCGTATCCTCTCCAACTGGTAACAGTGCAAGCTGATGCTTCTTGTTGAGCCGCCACGAATGAGATTCTCGAGACTATATATCGACCATGCTCATCCTTTGGTCATCGGGCCGCGGGTCTGGCCGTTTCGAGGTATGATTCATTCCCGTTGGTGTTCTGTACTGACATTTTCATCCCTCCCTTCTCTCCCTTGTCGACCCGATACCGCCCCCCTCTACTGCTATACTTGTATATCTGCTTTTTCAACCCCGACGTTCTTCAACTCTGAAAAGTTACCACGGCGCCATGGTAGAAATTGGACAGATGGGCTGTGACTTTGAGGCGCCTGCGAATCGTGCACATTAGATGCAGCCTTGGATGGAATCACAGATGTCGCCTGCTGTTAAAGGCTAGTAGACCTTAGACCTCAGCTTGTTCTGTACGATCTTAGCTGAAAAGTGATCTTGCTTATTATAAACTCTCAGAAGAAGGGGTCCAACTTCCACCTGGCAGCATTCATATTGCCTATGGGGAACCGTATCTGTAGAAGAGTCTACCAGTAGAAGCCTCATATCTGGAATGAAGAGCTCGCCTCTTCAAAGCCGCTCTTTTGGAGGCATCGACGTCCGGCAGGTTCCTTCCACCTTGATCTCCGCTCTACACCACTTGAAGATCTTTTGGAAGCCTTTCCTCAAGGCTCAGCGTGGAGAGCTAGATGGCCACGGCGGCGATGTGTCTATATCGTTCGACAGGGCCCGCCTAGATGGTGTCTTCCTAAGCATCCTTTTTCCATCTCCAGCAAAGAACGGGAGAGAATCCTCGCAGACGGACAAGGATGAATGTCTGTCGATTAGACCTCCTGTCGACTCTCCAGCTTTGTATTTGCTCCTACACGAGGGATGGGGGACTCTCTCTCTTCGCAGCAATCTTCACTTCCTGGAACCAGTGTTTCCCGGAGAGAAGTCAGCTTTGTGCGTGTCATCCTGTGATATGCTGTTTGTCTTTCAGCTCCTGTAATCCTGGCTTCCATGATTTTGCTTCCTTCCATACTCCTGACCAACTGCCGCACGAGTTCCCACCGTTCGTGAGATGTGCCTTCATTGTGCTTCATCTTCAAGATACTTCGTAGCGCTGGCCATGCTTCGGCTCCAACTATCGCGAGCACGCAAGGGATTTGAAATGGCTCGCAAAGGGGTCAGAGGGTATGCCGGCCGTTGGCGAGCAAATGAAAGCTGTTGGTGGAGTGAAGTTTCGGCGAAAAATTCCTCCTGCCGAATTTGCAGCGGCAGCCGCTCTCTGCACTGAAGGCCAAGTACTTCATCATCGATCTCTTTCTTGCCGCCAAAGCATTGCGCAGACTTTGAACTCGTAGACGGTGTGCAAGTCTCAGCGGGTTCTCTGGCGATTCTGATTTTATGCCGACTGTCCAGCTCATACACCAACCATCCACCGTGTCCCAGTGTCCGCTGCGCTTGCACCCTTCCTACTCTTCATATCGACTGGAGTCGCTGTACGCTGACTGCCCTATCAGGTGCCCCTGAGACCATCGTAGTATCGAGTCGCTTCACGCAGTCTGACCGACGTTCGGGATGGGGTAGAGGCGGAGAGGAAATGCGATTCGCTGCGTGATCGGAACTCGTGCCACTCGCGGATATGTAGCCATTGCGTCTATCTCTGGAGCTGAGCGCCCGTGTTAGTAGTAGGTGTGAGGAAATCGATTCGGTGGCGTCGTGCGGACATTGCTAATAGACCGAAAAATGCCGCTGTCGGTCGGTGTGAAGTGAATCCGAGCGGAAACCTTTTGGAGAACAGGTTCGCGTTCTGTAAACGTGAACGGACGCGTAGATGTTTTGGTCGCGTCTTGATACAATGATAGCTCGAAACAAACTGTTCAAATGATTCGTGTGTGCGTTTCCCTTCTAGCACTCGTGGACCGAGGTGTGTCGCGACTCGCGTGTTGGTGCCGGGCGTCGAGTTCGACATGTTTGGGGCGAAAAGCAATCGAGGCTTGGCGATGGTCAACAGAAGCCGTAAGGGCTGTGGGTGTGGATAGCTGCCAACGGCGCCGTTTTCGAATGTGGTGTAACTGGTGTTTATAGAGCTTGATCTGCCATCATTCCTAATCGCGAGAGATACTCTTTTGCGGTATCTTCCACTCGTGCTTTGACACCAGTCAAACCTCGAGGGGTGTTAGCTGTCGCTGTAGAAGTTCCAAACGGCAAAATCGACTGCGCCGTGCGTGCTGCTTCCCGAACACCAAAGATTCGACACCACAGCGCCTTTCCACCCCTACACAGACAATGAGCAAAGGTAAAATTCCTTACACCATCTTATAGGCATCTCAGAACGAAAAGAAATTGATAGAAATTGATCTCATCCAAAAATTCAGCAAAACAATTCGCACCCCCGGACGGGTGCGCCTTGAACCCCCCTGTCGTGAAGGGGGATTTTTGTCGATGCCACTTTGCCACTTACCTTTGCCATTGCCATTGCCACTGCCACTGCGCGCGCCATTAGCTGGGGGGGGGAAACTTTGGACGTACCTTATTTGCTGATTGCGCTACGTGAGCGTCTTGAAGCTTTGAGCTTTTGATATTGGAAACTGGAGTGAGGTGAAAATATATAAAAGTCAACTTTTTCTTGGCGGGCTGATTGGCGGAGAGGGACATAAGCGAGACACGGCCCACACGCGAGAACTTCAACGGAGCAACTGGAAGACGCGTGTACTTGACTTTGGAATACTGACTACGTGTGCTTCGTGTTGACTTCTGCTTTTCTCGCGTCATATCTCACGCTGTGACTGCAGAGCATGTTTCCAACAGGTCTAATATGAGGACTTCAAGGATGACAGCATCAGGGACTTCTGGCACGACATCTCGTCTCAATACCATCACGTACTCTACATCTGCAGGGTAGCTTCACTCTCCAATCGCGCTTCCTCATCTTGCAACGCCTTCGCTCCATCGACGCGAATGATTCAGCCATCACCATTCAGGGAAGTCAGACAGTCAGACTCAAGGCTTCCCGGCGTGCGCCCACCCTAATTACATCCCGCCATTGTCACCACGCCTGCGACGTATAGTATTCCCGATGGTCCCATGTGTCATGGACAACAGGGCGCGACGAGTCGCCGACGACTCATGACTATGCTATGAGGTGGTCCCTGACTCCAATCTCCTTTGCTGTTGAGATATTGCGCCGCATTGATCCAGATCTTTCTTCTCTGTAAGTCAAGCCTAGTATCTGGAAGACGTGAGCCGTGGGCTATGCCGCTGGGAGTCGTGGAGCGCGCGCGGGGAGCCCATACCACGTCCTGATACCGCAAACAGTCTGGACGCCCGAGCGTTGTGAAATGACTCCGAATCAGCTGCTCATACCTACCGTAATGACTCATGGACCTCGCTAGTAACCCCGGCCCACAGCACGTACTCAAGCCCGACGTCTGCTTCTTGCGTTGGAGGGGCTGTCGGGAATATCTCGTGGCGTGCGTCGGATGGGGACCGTGGAGCAAGTGGGTCTTGTCGGGACCAGGCTCAACAGAGTCGACGATTCGTAGATGCTCGGAGAACGTGGTGTCAGAAGTGACACGGTGGCGCTCGAAACAGTCGTCAGGCTCATGGTAGCTCCATTTCACTGGAGAGGACGGGAGGAGACCTCATCGGGAGGAACGCGAGTGAAGCTTCGCGTAGGAAAGGTGCAGTCTGGTCCCTTTGGAGCCGGACGATGTAGGATGGTCGTATGTGTTCGACGACTGCTTGGAGAATTTCTACAATGCCGAAACATTGGCCGCTCGCTGGGATATCCTCTGCATTGTCATTGTTTCTCCTTTGCTCTTTCTTGCTGCTCTGGCCGGACGGGCGAGCTATATCCAGTGGCCGTGATGGAAGACGTGCGGAAATAGCGTAAAAGACTGCTGATGGCCTTGCATTAGCTTTGAGCTGGTCCTTGCCCTCGAGAGACTTGGCCTTGCTGCGGGTGACTCGGCGTCCCTCCAGCAATCGTGCAGCATTCGGCTTCGCGCCACTGCGCGTTAATGCTTCTCGCGAGAGCTGCTGTGTATGACCATACTCACTGGTACTGTGCGGGACTCTAGACTGTGTAGCGAGAATCATTTGGCCTTCGGCGCTGGTGTTTTGAAGCTGTAGCGGTTGGCCCGTGCATCCGCGTCACTAGTCTCAGAGTCGGACTCAGGAGCAACTTGTTCCACTTCACTAGACAAGAATTCATCCTCACATTCACAGAGCCCTGACAGCGCGGCGAACCGCCGATGGACAAACCGACCTAATTGTCTCACAAAACTTGCAAGAATGTCTACGCAAGGTCGATCACCGAGGTTGTTCTGCATTCAGAGCACATGAGCTAAGCTATGCAACCGCTAATCCACAGTCGCTGACATCTTTCCCGAAGTGACCACACGATATAAGAGATCGGTTCAAGATGATCGCCAAAGACGTCCGCACAATCGTCAAGCTCCTGCCTAGCGCCGAGAATGTCATCCATAAGCCGTGGCCGAAATCCTACAGAATACCAGCAGAAAGACACCACGACCCTTGGTCAGCATACCGAGTATTGAAACTGGTGCCGCGCCTGACATGCTGTGACACACAGGCTATGGCCTGCGGCACAGCAGAAGCTGTAAACAGCGGGCTTCTTAGCCAGCAGGCATGTTTGAGGCGCAGGTGGTTCGCAGAGTCGAGAGCAGGGGAAGGAAACATCATTTTTCGGAATCGGACATCTCGGAGGTCAAGGACGATATGGACCTTCCGTGGTCCAGCCTGAATACGTCGGTCTGGTCCTCACGACAGTCAGTAACGTCCGCTCTACTTCCGCGGCAGACTTCGGCGTCCAGATCTGGTCCACCTCATGGCGTATCCATTCCTTCTCGCCTGCACGATAGTATCTCTCCAGGATGTCCGCAACTTTCAACATGTGCAAGAGTGTTGCCGGCCAGACCTCAACAATCGCCGTCACATTCGGCGGGCAGGACGAGGGCAGCTTGCAAGCACGTTCATACTCTCTGCGATCTCGAATCCGCAAGGCATCCACAAAGTTGACCCGGATCGACGTGGGCAAAGCTGGACTCGTCATGTATGTCCTGCCAAGCGAGGTGCTTAGGGCGTTTATTGCCGCTCTGGTATCCTGCACGCTGCCGATGCGGACCGAGAAACTGGCAGCGAGGTCGTCATACACCCAGTAAGAAGCATCTTGCCACTTCGAAGGAAACAATTTCAGATCGATTCCACTATAGTCGCCGCCATGGCCCGCAGACGATCTCCATTGACCTTTCAGTTCATTCAGAAAAGGGTTCAAGGCTAGTGCCGGGCTCAATTCTCGGCGCATGGGTAGCTGTGGGCTAGGCAGAACCTTGTCCTTGGCATTCTGGAACATGGGCGTTTGGAGCGACGACAGACCGGTGATCGCATGTTGAAAGACTCTAGAGACTCTTTGCAGGCTGAAGAGCTGTTTCGCGGGGACCAGAAGAAGTATCTGCTCGATGAGCTCCAGGGTGGCGAATACTCGCTGTGAGGACGGCTGCCATTTCGATTCTCGTAAGACCGCCACTTTCATCGTCAAATCCTCGGCTCTTGCTTCCAAGGCTTCCATTTGTGTCTCCATGGTATCAACCCGCCTCCGCAGCGCAGCATTTTCCGTCGATAGGGCAACATTGTTGGCTTCCAAGGCGTCCATCCGACGGAGGAGATCCCGGGGCGAAACTCCCTCGAAGTCCATTTCGCATCGACTGAGTGTCAGTATGTGTGGTCGGCGACAAGACGGAGGAACAAAAGGACGGAAGCAAACGACGAATGCAAGTTTGATGGAGATACAGGTGTTGCGCAAAGACGGAGGAGTGACGTTGGATTTGAGTTGTTGAAATGATCCGTCTCAACGCCGACTTCGGAAGACCTCGGGTCGATCCTCTTGGTGTTGCCAAGCCTCGTTAAGCCTCGTACAACCCGGCCACTAAAGGGCATTTGGATCTAGGATTGATGACAAGGAGCGGCAGACCTCCAGCATGCCAGATATAGAGTGGAAAGACTTTTCGGCTTGTCGCGTTTCCATCGATTTGCAGCTCACTCTTGGCACAGAACGGCAGGATATACGGAACGATACGTTGTGCAGGTCCATGCCGGTCCCAATGATATTACGAATCGACGATTGACGGTCTTCGACCTTCGAAGAGAAGACAAAACGTCGGCTTCTATGCCGACACATCACATAACGACGCACTCTTCCTGTTGACCTTACTCAGAGGAGCAGTGCAAGCAGCCGCTTGAAGCAATGAAGCTTCGAAGAACAGGACGATAGATCCCTTCAAGAGTCTCTTTCCCATCGGGTCTTGCAAAGTCGAAATAGCATGCCACCGTCCCCTTGATGCTTCGAAAGGTCTCACAGGTACACAGTGAGCGTCTTTGTCGAATGGTTCCACGAGCATCAACGCTGGCTCCGGTAGCAACTTGCCAACCGATTCGGCATTTTGTCTCGCCGAGCCGCAGGTCGTCATATGAGACAGTGCTTCCAACATACTGGTGCCAGATCTCGATGACAGCTAGCTGTGGTACTGCGGACTCGTCGATGCGAGATCCCGGCTTGAAGACGTGCCGAAGCTAGGAGACCTGCCGCTGTTCCCACTGGATACACCGCGTTGGATAGGCTAGTAAGTATATTCCAACGAACCTCTGCATTTGTGTTCCATAGAGGATCGATGATTCGAACCGCTCTTCCTGGTTTAGCAGGGGGTTCTGCCATCGTCTCATAGACTCAAACCTGGGCTGGAAGGCTCTACGGCCATCATTCAGGACTCTTGCGGACTAGTATGAGTTGGAGACACCGGAGGAAGAATGAGAGAACAGTGCCGTGGGCTAGCGGTGGGCGTTGGAAGAAAAGATGCCTTGTACTGGGCGACTGCGCGAATCTGAATCACCCGAGAACGACGGTCAAAGCTCTTGTTGCACGGAGTATGGCGAAGGTATGTTACATCTGCTATATGTATTCAAGTGCGGGACTAATCATGACAGACAATGATCAATGATCCAAGCTTGCGGTCGTTCCACCTAGCCAGGTGCACGTTGCCTTCTGTTGCTAGGCACCAAATCTAGATGTACCAAAGCAGGTATGGCGCATAGTTCACGCGGGATCATTTCTCCAATAACCAAGTCCGAACTGAGTAAGGATCCTCATCGGCAACCTCGTCACTCGTATGGCGAGGTGTACATGTGAAGTGCTTGGACCAAAGGTCCCGATTGCAACTTCTTCGACAACCTGAATAGCTCAGCTTTGTACTCACCCATTCAACTTGGAATACAAGACCATGGCTGGTCGTCCAGTACTCAGAGCAACAGACCGGCAAGCCGCAGCTTCATCAGCTTCTTCCTCTCCTTATAGCAGGGCGATTGGGATTTCATCTTCTCAAAGCAATGGAATGAAAGGCTCAAATCGACCAACATCCCAGAGAGATCACGCACAAGAGCAAAGGGACTTGTGTAGATCTGGATCTTGGACAGTATGGAGAGTGCGGCTATGGCAAAAGTCTACACGGACAACAAGAGAGCCATTGATATTTGGCTACGATCAGACATAGACCACGGTGTAATTGCACGAGTCTCGCAGTGTGCAATCCGCAGCTTTTTGTCCGAGACTAACTGGACCCAAGACACATCTCAGCGAGGAGCACTTCCCTTGCTAGCATTTGGTACACCTTGCCGGCTATGGACTCAAGCCGGTGAGGGTACAGCTCATCGTATCTGCTACACCAGCGATCCGGATTAGCCTATGTGGGTTGACAAGGCTCTATTCTCAGTCAGCAAAAGGTCGCGGCGAGCGCTACAGTCTGCAGATGCGCGTGTTGTAGAAGGAGCTGAAAACGAAGAAAAAGAAAGAGAAGGAAGACGGAGAAGGAGAAGAAGAAGAAAGCCATTGTTTCAAGATATCTGAGGCTAGGTATCTCGGAGATGAAACAAACGTAGGCAAAGCCCACTACGGCATCGACGTAATATTAAGGATTCGTTTAGTGTTCATCGGTAGCAGAGAGGCCATGCAAATGCTTCCGCGAAGCGCATTGCTCCCATCTTACGTTATCTCTATTTGGCTTGCACTGTACGTCTCGGATTTCTGTTCCTCATCTTTTTGTAGCTCACGAGGCGAGCTCCTTCGCGAAGGAATTCATCGAGAGGGATGAAAGACAACATGCGCGAGGAGTTTGCTCAGCGTGACAATTGAGACATCTGGAAACTTCGCCGTCTTCGACTGCATTGTTGACTTCAGCCGGCGGAAATTCGGAGAATTGAAGGGCTGCAAGTTTCCACAAGAGAAGTAGTAACAGGATGCGTCACTGGGCGGCAAAACAAATCATATTTCAGATCTCAAGTGCACTGCTCTCTCGCATCATCTTTCTACAGTGCGGATCAGATCCCGTCTTCAGCTGAAGCTTCCTCAGCACACACCCGCTCACAAAACAGCACAGTTTAACTAGCACCGTAGCCGCCCAGAAAACTCGAAGCTGCACAATACCAGAGACCACGACAATGGCAGCCAAGTCGAAGAGGCCGCGCAGGTCCCGCGCAGGCCCAGCTCATCAACTCGCTCCACAACAGGATCAGCGCCAACAGCCGCATACCCATCGCCGCAGCATGGCTCCACTACCGCCCTCCCTCACGCGTCCGCAGAGCCCAGCATACTCCCATCCGTCACCAGGATTGCTGCCATACTCTACCGCCCCAGCGCAATACACGCCAGACTACGGCAACGGCTACGGCCACAGCGACGGCCAGCTCGCGCAGCCTCTGCAGAGCTCGACACCGCAGTTTGTGTCTATGGCTGATGTCGAATCGGGCTTCGGAAACGATACTCGTTCCTATTTTGGATTTCAGGGCGCTGGGGAGTTCCAAACGCAGCAGCAGCAGCAGACTCACACTCACGCGTTCTCTGGAGGTCCTCACACATCCCCATTCGGCCAGCTGAGTACGCCTTTCCCTCCGACTCAGCAAGGTATTGGCCACCCGCAATCAGTCGCGGAAGGCTTTGACACGCGTGCGGGCGGGTATGAGCATTCTTCTTTCGCATCCTACCCGCCTCAATCAGCACCATACCAGAGAAGCCAGCTCTCTGCACTTGCCGTTCCTTTCGAGCCTCGTCAGCACGCCGAAGCTGCTTCATCTGAGCACTACGGTCAAGCTCATCATGCTCTCCAGCAACATGGTGATCCGAGTAACGCACACCAGTTACTTCCAGCGCCACCGCCACGTCGATTCTCCCAGGCGTCGTGGGCCTCGTGGCCACCGCAGCAGCGCCATCAGTTCTCACCGGGCGGCTCGGCCACCTCAGCAGCGCCGCTTCCACCTCCACTGCACTACCGAGAGATTCGTCCCGCCTTATCACACGTCGAGCACGACATGAGTCCACCGCTAGACACTCAGCCGCCAACGGTGACTTCGGGTGCGAGTGCTCTTTCAGACCGCCCCATCCACGTCCCTGTGAAGCAGCGATATCATGCTGGGCGAAACGAGTAACATCTACAAGCAGCGTGGCCAGGTAAGGTAGGCTGCGCGGTCGATGGAAGTGACAATCACTGACAATAGCATCAGGCAGACAAGTCGACAGCCGATGAAACCACAGTTTTGCGGCTTTGCCGCAGCAATTCAGACCTCCTCCCCCGCGGCCGCTCCTCTACCGCCGACCCAAATGACCAGTCCCTCGACAAATGAGACGCCACGGGAAAATGGAGGTACTTGACGTGATGGAAGGTAATTTCTACCGCAGTGGACAGGCCACGAAGCGGGTGCAAGCGATCGCCGCAAAGGAATGCGGACGAATACAAGACTGTTAAATGCATTCATCTCCCACGCGTGACGTTCTTCGAACTGGAGGCCCGCCTACTCCGCGCCTGTTCCTTTCCCAAGTTCGCAAGTAATATCTCGAGATCCTCCGTGCGTGTAGTCCCTCCATAACTTTGATCCTGTAGCCAATGTGTGTTGCTCACTGCTCGGGTGGCAGTTGGACGAGCGTAAGAAACAAGAGCGAGTCGTATTCCTCCACGGTCCGCAGACCTAATATCATGAGGATCTGCGCGTCAGATACGGAGCAGCAAGCAGATCCACCCTCCAGGCGCCCACCTTCGGCTGAGCCACCTTGGCATGCGGCATGGTTTTTGGTTCAATTTGTTGCTTCGGCTTCATCTTCTCTTTCATCAATGTCTTCGTCTACGGGTGGTGTCTCGGAGAAGAAGCTGGTCTACTTATCCCATCGTGTGTGTGTTGTTTCATGCGCCTCGATCTCGGACCCGTATCACGTCGTGTTGAAGGTGTTGTCGATGGTCGGACGGCGGCTTCGCGCGCGATACGCGGCGGCGGGAAATGATCACCGTTCTGCTGCTTCTATCTGCCGTACGATTTGTGCTACGCCTACGCGTGTATTGTGTCTGTGGTCTAGGTATCCTGTCGTCTTCTCGCTCGTTCCTCCCTCTCTCCTGCTTCAAAGCTGGCTGGAATACTCCAAGGCGCCCGCGATACCGCCCTCACAGGAGCCGGTCATCGCGTTCGCGGCTCGTGTGCTATCAATGGCCTCCTATGCCATCATGTATCCTTCATGTGTCTTCTACTATTGATAGGCCGCCAGACCTTCGAATGGGGGCCAGGCTGTGCTGACGTAATCAGGTACAAGACCTTTGGAGAACCGCTTGATGAGAGGACTGGTGGAAGTCAGGGTGATGGTGAAGGACGCGCTCGGCACCAGGATGAAGTCGTCGCGATGAAGCAGTGCATGTTCTTGAAGCTCTAGACTCAATGTCACAAGACGCCACCTTCACGAAGGGGCTGGGTGTATGGGCTATTGTCACGATTACGAATGAGGGTGGAGGGCCCTGATAGCCACCATAAGTAGAGCCGTAGAAGGCTTCACATCCCTTCGTTGAGCTGAACCTCAGAGCGGTGCAGACGGCGGCAAAGCCATGCTACCGCGCCTAGATATCGGTGTAGATTGAAGAGGCCTCATTCTCCATCCATGAGGCACCAACCGACGTTTGATCCTGCTTCCTGCGTCAGCATTTGCCAGGTAGTGCGATCACTGCAAGTCACGCGAAGGATCTGACGCGCCCGAACGACATGAATGAGACTCCAGAAGGCGCGCAATGGTAAGTCACCATAAACACGCACGGCAGCTTGGATCAGCAGGAGTGATAAGAGCCTTGCTTGGAAACGGGTCGCGAGTATTGAACACGAACGCGCCGCACGCGGCACAACACCAGGATCCACGCTGAGCTTACTACGGGCACAGATATCCAAACCGATTCACTCACATCCAGTGCGTACCTCCTTATCAGCCCATCCCAAGATCTCGTCAGACGTCGCGCAAGACCGCTGTGGAATAGGCCTGGGCGCGTCACTCCGCACCGCGCGACTTGGACAGCCCCCGAGAGAGAGGGCTCGCCAGCGACAGACGCCACGACTCAAATGTAGGCCGCGGATGGACAAGTGGCGGCGCTTCTGAAAGATACAAGGAACACACCGTGAGTGGAAGAGCAAGTGGGCGCGACCCGACGAAGGCGCGACCTGGACGGTGGGAGTCTGGTCATCATTTGGCGAGGGACAGAACACCGGCCATGAGGCATCATGAGAAGGTGAGGAGGAGAGCGCGCCGATGATCACGACGACGCTTCATTAAGGCTAGCCGGGGCGGTATTTCATGGCGACTGGCGGGCACAAGGGAATTCGCGTCACAGCATGTACGAAGCGGCACGCAGACGTCCGACACGCTGCTGTGGCGAATGTCCTCCAACAATGCAAGTGAACGGCAACGGCAATGATGAGCGCGCATTGAGCGTGTCCGGATTCACTATCACAGAGCCAATGCGACGTAGATACTAGATAGATCATAGGGCGCTGAGAGACAGATGACACAGAGCAACGGTGATACAAGCAGCGAAGCCGTCAGGGAGAACAACAAGACCTCATGGGCAAGTAGAAACAACACGTAGGTAGGCACCAGTATCAAGAACACAGCAGTGAAGCCAGGCAACGCCGAACTCAAGGATATGGCAAGGCAGTCCAAGCAAGTCACTACAATGATTGAGTCTCTTCTCCAAGACACTGCCATTGCGGCAATGAGCATGATGAAAAAAATCAGACCCTCGAAGGGGCGCCATCAAAAATTGTGCGGGTTGAGTTGCCAGCCCAACTGGCCAAAGAGACACCACGAGCGTGCAATGCAGGCCTCAAGACCACCCTGAAGGTATTCGGGAGCACCGACAGGGCCGGCGCATTGCAGTTTTGAACTGAAATGCGCCACTAAGGAAAGAAGAAAAGAAGAGGAAGAAGTTGAGGACTGGAGCGAGTTTTGATCTTTCCATGTGGTCTGTGCCCTTACCGCGCGCGGGCTAGTCCGGACTGTTCACGTGATTTCTGACTCGTGTAGGAAGAGGACGGTAGTGTCCGCGTGCGGGTGAGGTTGCCTGGGTGACTTTGATGCCTGAGGATCCGTGTCTCAGTCTCTCAGAGCGAGCGGCCGCGACGTCATGGCGTTTGTTGGCGGTGGGACAATGAGGTGCGCTGGCATTGAGGGCAGCGGGCATGGAATGCAGTAGCGGTGCAGTATGCTCAGCCCACAGTTGATAGAAGCAGAGCGGGCTGCGGTTCAATGAGGCTCATTGTAGGAGTAGTATGTACTGCTCACGCTGTTCCCGAATCACTCCAGTTGAAGCTCACCACCAACGCCGCAGAATCGTTCCATCCCAGGCTCGTCGCCCCCCAGATCAGCTGCAGCATTCTTTGCTTCGTAAGATATTGAGAAGAGAAGATCAGAGCGCCGGGTGATACGAGAAGCTGGGGCAGGATATGGCCAAACGACGCGATTTGCCTGCAGCAGAAGTGCAGCCGCCGCTGAAATACATAGCTCGCCCTCGCCACTTCTGACGGACCAAAGCTACTGTTCCTACTGGAGCCAGTGTCTAGCAGTCTGATATCTCGGAGGCAAGCTCTTGGCTCACAGATCAATCAACCGAGCTGCTCTGGCCTGGGTCTCCGGTTCCGACAATGTAGACGACCTTCGACCAGCATTGTGCAGCAGGCTGTGGCCCAACACCATGCACCACAAACGCTAGCCGTCCATCGTACTAGACAAAGTAGTTTGAGGAAGCTTTAGTCCCGCAGGTGAGCAAATTTGGATGTTGAGGCCTAGTGGCGTACGCAAAGACTGATCCATATTACCTCAGGTAGTCATGCCTCCACTGCTGCCAAGTTTGCGGCACGCGCGAACGCCGAAGGCGATCTTCCAGGACACACAGAGTATCCGCAGGGGCTATGATCAAGGCTGCAGCCGCGATGGTGGTAGCGGGTGAGTTGTAGGCCAGCGCGCCGATTTTGATGATGCCTTGCATAGCTGCCTGTGCAAGAGCAGCGGCGTCAGGGGCGCCTCGAACGCTCTCCCTACCCTCGGGATCTTGGCCGTCGCCTCGTCCTCGTATCATTTCTCCCAATCCGAAGATGAAGCGCGGCGTTTGTCCAAGCGGTGAGGAGGCTTGCGCGTGCCAGAGGTGTGAAACGCAGCGCGTCGTGGAAGCTAAACCCAGCGACCTTGGAAAGAGCTTCGTCGACTCAGACCAGCAACCAAATGCAAGTCCCACACCAAGTCGGACTGTCGGAGTGACTATCAGACCCACGATCGACTCTGCGGAGGTGCAGGGACGAGCTGACGGTTGACCGCCGGTCGTACAGACAGTCAGGCGTTCAGACGTAGACACATTGGTAAAGAGCTCCGGGATTCGAGATTCGGAGAACGGCCGTCGACATCGAGATCGTGTTCGGAGGCACTCGGAGGAAAAGCGTCGTATCTCTTCGCCGCTCTTATACAGCGAGCGAAGACGATTGCCTCATCTATACTAGTCGTACCGCATGCCCTGCCTGACACAAAATATACACTCACTGGCGAGGCCGACCGCATGGATTTCAGCGTCGAAGTGATCCAAAAGGCGACCCTGCTCGTCCACCGGCAGCAGCGAGGACTACTCGCCGTCATCCACCAGCTTATTCTTAACATGATCATTCGTAGCATACGGAGAACCACGAGACTTACGAAACATTGTGCGCAGTCTTCGGATCATTCTTTTCTTTCACGGTTGCTCGCGCTCGAAGAGATCTGGCTCGGTTCGTCTGAGGTCGCTCGGATTGAATATTGACCACACTGCCGACTCTCGAGACTCTATACTTTTCGCGCGGCACCTATCACTGCTGGTGTCCTTGCCGATAGGTTGCGTCTCGTCATTGGGGAGAAGAGCTATGCTGTGCGAAAGCCTTTGGGTACCGCTGCAGCTGCAGTCACAGCGTCAGGGTGCTTTCTTTGAGGCCTTTTGGATTCCAAAGAGGATGGTCTAGCCTCGAATTGCATTCTTATCTATCGCCGTTCCCTTCCAGCGACCCAACACCTATCTCGCCACAGATCGAAGCAGTTCCGGCCACGTACAGCCGGTATGGGGATAGACCAATGCCACACGCACGAGCGACAAATCACCCTACCCCGA